TTTCTTTCCCTAGTCATTTGCGTATGAATAGGGTTAGTCAGTAGAGTGAAAATTGAAAGTAAATTTCTCATTTAAGGTCAAAATAGATGAGCTGAAATATCCTCTAAGTCAACTATGTTTCTTGTTCAGCTATATTAGCCTTATATTTTAAATTGAATTAATTTTGAATTCTCATTTTAATGAATAACCCAAAAGACATTTATGGACAAAACCCAACAAGTCTTACAGTAAGATCGTATGAGACGATCCATCTTTAGAAGATGTTTCATATCATATTCTTCTGCTGTTGGGCGTAGAACGATGTGGTTTCTTTGTTTTAATCAATTTGGTGATCAGAAGATTTTAGTATTATTTTTTTTAAAGATTAGGAAAGGGGATTTGGGTTGATGGAAATATGATCATGACGGTCTACTTCGGGGAAAGTTAAGCCAGCCATATATATATATATAAAAAAAAAAAGATTAAGAAAAATATAACAAAAAAAATAAAATATTAGCTTTAGAAGCTAGATGCTAAGGGAATCATGTGCACACATTGATCTGAGTTTATAGCATTCATATATCCATGTTAAAATCTCTTTTGCTCCCTCACCAAGATGAAGGCCACTTGATTGAGACAAATGACTCGATAGGGAAAAATCCATCTCTCATACTACAGATGTGAATGTTATTAAGATAGCCCAAAGCGGCCCACCCTAATTCCACCCTCCAAATAGAGACCTTTCTTCTAATCAGGTTCTGAAAGATTATTCTGGCAAATCTTTAGCATGAAACTTCATTTTATTTCATGCGGTTTACAATTAATGTAGAAGACTGAGCTATCTACAAGTGTTACTTGTGTAAGAGTGAATCGGCCAGGACTGAAAAACTCATTAAATTCCTGATAATAATATAATTAACCCTCAAAGGGCCAGCGACTACACTCAATGTACTCTTACGTCTGTTGCAAATAATGAATGTGTACAATGTATTGTTTTGCATGGCTATGGACTACATTAATGCATACAATCTATTAAGTAATATGTGAGTGGGCATTTAGCATTCTACATAGTCATCACAAATGCATATATGTATACATACATAAACACACACACACACACTAAACACACAATCACAATACTTCAATATATCACATTTTCTTTCACCTCTATACAGTTAGTAGTTTACTGCAGTACTATTAACCTCTTCATGTCAATGGTTTAGGTAAATCCTTTGAAATCATGACAAAGTATCTAACAATAGTAAAAAGGCAAGGTTACCACTACGGGACAGATGATAAATCTGTGATAAATTGGTATATGGATTAATAAAGCACTGTGTTACTTTGCATGAAATATATCAATGATTCCCAATGCTACAGCCAGCTCTATATCGTAGATTTTACAAACATATAAATGTTTGTAAAATCTACGATATAGGGCTGGCTGTAGCATTGGGAATCATTGATATATTTCGATGTCAACTAACAACCTTTATTTTAACAACACTGTAAACGAATGACTTACTCCTACAACTCATGCATTTAATCCAATGTAGATCCACCCCAGCCCCCCTTTCACCTTATAAATAACGGGATTGTTTTCTAGGGTAATTAAGCATGTTTGACTAAATCTTGACTGCACTGAGATGGCTTGGACATTAGTAAGTACTAAATACAATCTTTTAAAACTTACACAATCAGCTGTCAGTATGACTAAACAGTGTCTTATCCTTCTGGTGCTTTACACATAGAGGTCAAATCATTGACACACCACAGGTATTTAATGTGAAAATTCCATATTTTTCTATTAATATATCACTTAAACTACAGACCTATTATATAGATACCTGCCATCTCTCTATATATATATTAGTGTGTGTGTATTTTAAATATGCTATCTATAATAAATGTGTGCCTACAATTAATGTACACATGTAAAAGCGAAATTCTACAAACATTGCTTTAAACATCCATTCAAGCTCTCTCTCTTGGGAGCACATAGAGTGCATGCATTTTATCCATACTGAGTGTCTTCTGTCTCTCTACAACCCGCGTGCAGTCAGGCTGGCTCTTTTTAAGACAAAACCAAAGGCTTGCCATTGACTGCTTTACTCTCACACCTCCTTAGGTCCATCTTACGGATTCTCAGCACACTTCGGTGTCATGTAACAAACATTTCCACCTATTTGCAAACAGCTGACACAGCACCTAGAGAGAAGGGAACTGCCTTAAAAAGGAATTAAGCTGTTTTTCAGAATTCCGATATGTCACCGCATCATTATTTAACCCCCATGGTTTGCAGAATAAGAGACTGCAAGATATATTGTCATCTTCTCAAAATAGAATGTGTCAGATATTAATTATATTGAAACAGAGAATATTAATCTTTTCCGACTAAATACAAGACACATATATGTTGCTCTAAATACTGGATCAGTTTTCTACATTTAATTTTTTTCTTATTTTTTTTCTGTTTTTCATAATCGGAACTCATTGACTAAGTAGTAGAGTGGCCTTCATGGATAAAATAAAATATATCTTTTATTAAATAGATTAAATAGGTTCTAAAGCTAGGCTATAAAAAGATACACAATGGGACGTATTTACTAAATTGGAAATGGAGAAGTACTGTAGAGGAATTAGCAAATTCGCCATGATGAAAACATTATCTAACTAAGCAATTTTCCTACATTGGGTATTTTGACCCCAAATTTCCAATCGCCTTGTTAATTCCATGTTACCATCTGCTAAGTGTTATTTTTGTATCTTTTAATAATTTATGATGGATTGTATTAAACGGACGTTTAGGGGGAATTGCTTTCTGAACTTTAAACCATTTGAGAATTCCTGTACCAAGCACATTATACAATTAATAGTGTCAATTATTAAATGACAGAGATCACTAGAGGCGTTGTTACAGCCAAGAAAGTTTGCCTTTTTAATGCTTGCACCCCTTCAGCCAAGCATAGCTCGTGAGGGCTAGATTTTTCTTTGACATATAAATCTTCATCAAGCATTATTAAGAGGCTGCAATTCCTACACTTAAAGGAAGGGATCGATGCCTGTTCTCTCCTTTCAGAGAAACTTGTTCACCACTGGGGGATGATAAGCAAAGTATAGTGAACACAAAATTAGATTTTAGCTAGAAACATAGACTTGCATTTTTTTTTCCCTCTGACGCTTGTCAAACAAGCCTAGAACTGTTAACCCATTCTCCCATTTAGCAATGTTGCAAGCCACCTTTTACGAAACAACTGCCTTGTTTAGTCTTATATGCGGCTGATTCATCAAC